TCGAAAAGTCAACCTTTATAACCCATCACAAATCTACTTTAGCAATTCTTTTGGAGTTTTTATCGTTCCTAAGCATTCAATAACTTTTATGATCAATAATCAATCTAGGAATCAAGTCCTAAGCATTCTAAGCTCTTTTAAATCTATTTAGATTCTTCTAAAATTAATTTTCCAGCTTAAGTTCTTCTATAAATATCCATATATAAAAAATTCATAAATCCATCATTCTTACCTTAGGTGAGCTTTGATGTTAAGTAAAATCACAAAACCTTTGCGCTTTGTTAACCAACAAAAAATATGGACATATAAACAATATTTTCATAACCTTAAAATCAAGATTTAAAGATTTGGAAGTTGAAAAATGTCATCTTGTTCACAAAAAGTCAAAACCAAGCTTTTAATCTTCAAAAATAATGATTTGGGTTAAAAATAGATTTAAGAGGATTTAGAGTTGATGAAAACAGAGAAAAAATGGTCTAGAATGATAAAACTTTGAAAGATATGACATAATTATAGTTTGGGATGTAAAAATACACATTTACTTCTTTTTTTTGAAAACAATGTCATTTATCGATAGTTTAAGGCCATCTATCGACAGATATCCTTCAAGGTTCTTTTGTAAAGCCTTTTGACTACCATTCACAGTTGGTTGCGTTCTAGATGATTCTTAGAAAGATTTTAGAGGTTAGATGCTAGTAAGATGGTGTACAAGTTATAATGAAAGATATGATATGGTATAACTAAGAAATCGATTAAATAATCCCTAGTTCAAGTGAACCATTATGTGAAATCCCACCTTGATGTAAGATGCTAGGTTAAGAAATCCTTAGGTGTGCATGAATGTTTTATGTTTTGAACATTCAAACTTAGTTTTAATCTTGAAAAAATTTATGTTTTGATGCATTGGGGTGATTTGCAAAGTTTGGTGTTAAAAAGAGTCTAATTGGACAAGTTTTTAATGTTTATTTTTGCTTACTAGTACTTATCATCAATAGATGCAATCTAGAAAGGTTTTCCTAAAAAAAAATTAAGAACATCTATAGATAAATGGTCAAATCTATCAATAGATGGTCTCATCTATCGATAGATAACATCCACCTAATTCAAAGTTGACAAGGTTTAACCCCCACCATCTTGGGTTCTTTGGGAGTGGCAATCCCCCTCAACTCCTAGCGGATAAGGTTTAATCTCCATTATTTTGGATTAGTAAGTGCACTTTATGAGTGGCATCCCACCTCACTCATACTAGAAGTGGTAGTCCACCCTAACTCAAAGCAAATAGTGGTAAAAATCCCCACTATTTTGGATTCTCATAAACATATAGGATCTATTATATCCATAACTCATCATCATTTCATAGATATACATATTATACCTCATGCTTCATACTTATACTTATCTCATAAGGTATGTGGAACTACATTACATACAACTTATAAATATACATTTCTTACTCTAGAACGTATTATATAATCATTCATGAGCTTATAGGTGGGAATGTTTACAAGCACTAAAGCATCTCATGTTCATAAACATACATTTCATGCTCAACTGCACATTACATAATCTTTCATAATCTCCTGGGTAGGAATATTTACATCCACCAAAACATCTTATCAAGCATACATGCAATTCATATTCATCATATCCACTTAAACTCATTTTGAAGGAAATCATTGAAAGAGCTTGTCTTTCTTTATTGAAAGCTAATACATAGTAAAATATTTACTTACATAATAGATTGGAAAACTATTTTAGGAAATTGTTTGGATTCAAAACATTTGAATAGGTGTTATAGAAAACGGCATTTAATCATGCAAGATAAACAACTTAATAAATCATGTTTACTTTACATATAAAAGACTTGAAAGGCTACATCCACTCACCTATTCAAAGACTCAAACCTATACCAAGAAAAACTTTACTCCAGCAGATCCTTTGAAGTTTTGACAACACCTACTCATTTAATCCATCATTGTTATTATTACTTGGACTGTGTAGCATATAGTACTTATACTACAATAATTCAAAAGTAGTCAAGTTAATCAATATTTAATTTTTTTAGCTCAATATCTACTATTCTTCACTTAACTTGTAACAGAGACATTGAAATCTTACTCCATTTCTTACCTTAGTAAACTATTAAAGATAGAACTCCTTTGGATGCTTTAGCTTTTTTGACCAATCATAAAATCTGTTCAAACATTTAAATTAGTAGAGTAAATCTAAGTTTTGAAAGATTAAAATGTGGAAATGTTACATTTGATAGTTAGAAAACCCAAAACCAACTTTCAATCATCAAATCTTCAAAAATATGGACTTTGGATAGAAAAAAGGGTTTGAGGATATTAAGAGTTAAGAGAGAGTAGTGAAAAAGGCGATCAATGGTTTAGACTGAAGAGAACATGCCTTTTATTGTAAATGTTAAATGAGAAAATACTATTTGATTTCATTTATTTTTGTAAAAATAGCGTCAAGTATTGATACATGAGTTTTTGGGTTTAATGAATCGATACATATACATTCATCCAAATCCATTTGAAACATTTTTAAGTAGAATGTATTAATACTTATTTATCATGTATCAATACTTTTGTTTCAACTATGATTTTTGCTTTGAAAACCCATCTTTTTGGTCTAAATCTTTCTCCAATAACGCATATACTGTAAACTTGAAATCTAGACATTTCTAAAAAATATTTTTCAAGATCTTTAACTAAAAGCATGTTAAAATTACTAAGCAAGTAGGATTTTACTTAACTAATCTATAATTAAGGTGTGGGGTTTCACATCAATATATCTTTTTTTTTAGAATTCACATCAATATATCTTCATTTTTTTTTTTGAGAATTCAAATGAAAAAATCTTAAAATTAAAATACACAAAACTATATTTTAAAAAAGGAAAACAAATTAAAGTTTAGATTTTCTTTTTCTTTTGATAAGATTTTCAAGTTATAAAAAATGGATTAAGTACTACACTTCTCAAAATTGCAAAACATTTCGATATCAGTATCTATAATGAAACTAACTTGATATAATTTACTTTTTAACTACAAAAAAGAGAAGCATATAGTTTTGGATTACAAAGATGAAAGAATTTAGATTTTTGGATACATACTTTCATAAATTATTTACTTATTCATGCTGCCAACTGTCATTATATCCTTTCAAAGAGCAATCATAAACTTAATGTCTTCAAATAAGATGTCTTATTTTTGATGGATCACAAAAGATATCTAAATTATTAATATTGTTTAAAAATAATAAAACAACTTGCTAAACAAATTAAAGAAAAAGATAAATAGCATAAACCTAAACATAAAACATTATGTAAACTACTTGATAGATAAACCTTTGGGAAAAAAAATCAAGTTGAATGTGATTAAACAAGATGTCATGCAATTTATGGAAGAGTTTCATAGATACAGCCAACTTGAAAGGGGGTGAATGCATCCTTTATTGCGCTGATTCCAAATGTTCAAAATCCGACATCACTAGGGAAGTACAATCAGATAAGTTTGGTGGGTAGTTTGTACAAGATTGTGATGAAGACCTTGGCAAATAAATTGAGAAAGGTGACAGGAGAAGTGATAGGAAAAAATCAGTTTGCATTCATAAAAGGAAGGAAAACAATGGATTATGCTTTAATAGCAAACAAGGTTATGGACTGGATGAAAAAAGAGAGGTCAGGAGGGATGGTTCTCAAACTGGATTTCGAGAAAGCTTATGATAGTGTTTGCTGAAAATTTCTCAATCTAGTCATGACCAAATTGAGTTTTAGGGAAAAATGGAAAAAATGGATAAAAGAATGCACAACATCGCCAAAATCTCAATGTTGGTTAATGGATCTCTAACAAGGTAGTTTGGTATGGAGAGGGGTCTAAGACAAGGGTGCTCGCTCTTTTTGTTTCTTTTCAATATCATGGCTGAAGCACTAAGCTGTATGATGAAAAGAGCATAAGAGATTGGGTTGTGCAGTGGAGTTAAGATTGGGAAAAATGATTTTTCGATATTCCACCTTCAGTATGCAGTCAACATGATGTTTTTCTATAATCCTAATCTTGAGAACCTTTTAGTGTTTAAGAGAATTCTTAGATGTTTCCAAGGAGTATTAGGCCTTAAAGTTAAGTTCCACAAGAGCTATTTGTTTGATATAGGAGCTGATCAAGGAATAGTTGTTAAATGGGCAAGAAAAATTTTGTGTCAAGTGGGGAAAATTCTTACCTATTATCTACGGCTACCTTTGGGGGTTAACCATAATTCAATATCTTTTTGAAGGCCAGTGCTCTACAGGGTTGGAGCAAAGCTTGCAGGATGGAAAGCAAAGACACTTTCTCTTGACGGAAGAGCAACTTTGCTTAAATCGGTATTAACAACTCTGCCAATCTATATTATGTCCTTGTTCCAAATTCCAACCAAAGTGAGAAATGAGTTAAAGATAATGCAAAAGAGATTTTTATGGGTGGCACAAAGGACAAAAGGAAGTTACACTATGTGAGTTGGGACAATGTTTGTAACTATAAGGAGTGTGGAGGTGTAGGCGTAACAGATTTGAAAGTAAAAAATAGAAGCTTATTAAACAAGTGGATTTGCCGTTATGAGGAAGAGAAAAATAGTCTATGGAGAAAAGTTCTTGTTGAAAAAGTTGGGAGTGATCCAACAGACTTTCTAGCAAATGTATGTGTAAACTAAAGAGTGTCAACATTGTGGACGAAAATCATTAGCCCTCTTTCCCCAACTAACAAATTTTTCTTGCAAGTTAACTTTAACATTGACTTCGTAGTTGGGAATAGAAAAAATTTGAGATTTTGGCAAGATGAGTGGATGGGCGAGATCACTTTGGTATAAACGTTTCCAAAGATTTACGTTTTGGAGAAAAATAAAAAAGGGAAGATTGCAAAATTTGAAAGATGGGAAGAAGATAAACGGATGTAGACAATCGAACTTAGAAGATAGCTTTATGATTCGGAAATTGCACAATGGGATCAACTTCAAACCATGTTGCATGAGTTACAACTAAGCAAAGAACTTAAAAACGATCTTATATGGAAAAAGGAAACATATGGAAAATACACCACAAAATCTTTTTGTAAGTATACCTTTGACACTATTAATAACACTGATGGGATTTGGAAGTTTGTATGGGTAAATGTGGCACCACATACAGTGGAAATGTTTGTGTGGCAATTGTTACATGGCAAAATTGGGGTGAAGGAAGAACTCATAAAAAGAAGAGTTCATTTAGATAACGGTGTCTTGTCTGTCTTGTGCAATAAGAAGGTTGAATCTTGTGACCATTTGTTTGCTAAATGCAATGAGACATGGAAAGTATGGGTGAGGTGGTGCAAAATGTGGGGTGTGTCTTGGATATCCCTTGGATATGTTAGAGGGATCCTTGAATTATGGAATAGATACCAACTAAGGAGTCTGGATAAAAGAACCTGGAGGATGGCATTCTTTGTAGTGGTTTGGTCAATTTGGAAAGATAGGAATGAGACAATTTTGAGAGGGAAAGAATGGGATTCAGGAAATTGTTTGGAACTGGCTAGAATCAGAGTTGCTGAGTGGGCAAATGCAAAGTGGCCAAGGGAGTTTCCATCTATTCTGGACATTTATCGACAACCTACTAAACAAGACCAACAAACAAGAAGATAAGCGAGAAGAGGGATGGAGTGGGAGAAACCACAAAAGGGGTTTTTGAAATTCAATGTCGACGGGGCAGCAAAAGGATGTCCGGGGCCAGCTAGTATTGGTGATATTTTGAGAGATTCGAGTGGAGAGGTGAAGGTTATTTTCTCAAAGTCTATTGGCACGGCAGATACAAATCTTGCTGAAAGTTTGGCAATAAGGGAGGCTTTTCTTATTTTCTCAACTTCACAGTTGAGAGAGAACAAATGGCTTACCATCGAAAGCGATTCAAATAATGCAGTTAAGTGGACTACAGATGCAAGTACGGCACCTTGGAGAATGAGAAAATGGCTGTTACGAATTGAGAGAATGAAAACAGGCTTCTCTGGTTGGGAGATAAGACATGTTTTGAGGGAGGCAAAACAAAGAGCAGACACTCTTGCGAAAGGAGTCCTACTGCAAACAGATATTTTGAGAGTGTTCTAGTATGCCTCAACCACCTATGATCTTATTGATATCTTTTAAGTCTGTTATCATGTTTAGCTGGTACTGTTTGATCCTTGGGGGTTTGGCTTGCTTCGTTGCTGGAAGGGGCTTAGAGTTTGGTTGCCAAGGTCGGGTTTGGATTGGCGTTCTTAAGGCTGTATTTTGTGTTTTGGGTTTATAGTTTCTGGTGTAGAATGGCTGTAAAGAAACGCTTAAGTGGAAGTATGTTTCCTGATGTTTTTGTCTTGATCGATACAGGAACTGTTTGTGTTGCCTTTTTGTAGAGTGGTTTTTGGACATGTTGTCTGGCTTTAGGTTGAAATTGATGAATAGGTGGTAAATGAAAGGATATTGGGGACCTATGCTTCAATGGGAGCATATTAACCAATATCCTATTGACCTCGCCTGATGAATCCCTGATGTAAATTTAAAGAGGGAACTAACTCCTCTATGGAAATAATGATCATGTTTTTCAAAAAAAAAAAAAAATTCAAGTTCACATCCTTGCTTTATATAATTTGCTACAAAAGTCTTAATATTTAGTGAAATTTTAATTAGAGCTTGTCAAAAAATTGTTTACACTACCAAAATTTAGTAAAAGATGCCCTATGTGGAAGGCAGAAAAGCCAGGTGGTGTAAAATATGTCTCATGGATAACCTCGCTGCAGATGCTTTGTGTTGGCATAAGCTGGAGACAAAAGAAATAAACTTGAGCAACAAATCAAGACAGAAGCCACATAAATAACGTTGACCAAAGCGTGAGGGAGATGGAAGCCACAGCGTAAGTCCATAGCATAATCATAGAGCTTTCACCCTGACCACTCTGAAATAATTGAGTCATTGTACCTGCCAAAGCTCTTTCCATTAACTTAAGGATACTCGAAACCTATTAGTGAAGAATGCTCCCACAAGCAACCCAAAATTTTCATTTTTATGGCATATGTCCATGAGTTTCTTTCAACGCATGGTGATGTAAATTTGACGATAGTTTAAAGCTGTTCCAACCAGGATGGCAGCTAGCTAGTCCACAGTTATTGAAGGGGCTCAAGAACAAAAACAGGGGGCCAACCTAGTGGGGGTTGTCCCATTGAAAATCCTCATTTTTTTCAATTTAAAAACAAAGGTGAAATTACGCTTTGTCAACAGATATTTTTCTAAGCTAATAAAATAATTATAAACGTTTGATCTAATATTTGAAAAAACTCTTAAAATTATTTTTAAAAAATTCAAATAAATTTGTATTCTTCTATTTCATTCAATCGAATGCTTATACATTTATTTTGGGTTAAATAGGACCTTATAACAAATGATTGATTAGTTATATCGTAACTCAAAATACTACTTATCATTTTATACTCAAATAACGTTGACGTGACGTTAACATAAATAGTAAAAATATCATATGATTATATGATATTAACATGTTAACATATCACGTAATGTGAAATAATAAATAGCATTTTGAGTACCAATAATTAGTCAATCATTAATTATAAATACTTATTTAATTCAAAATAAAATTACAAAAAGCTTGATTAAATATAATAAAAAAATGACTCATTTGAATTTTCCTAAATAATTTAAAGACTCTTTTAAGATGCCTACAATTTTAAATCATTAAATCTTTATAGAAATGAATTATGCACTTTAACTTTTCCTAAAAGGGTATTCCTATGCCTCTTTTAGTTAGTAGTTAGATTTTTTTTTTTTTGTGCATGGATACTTTAACTTTTTATTCAATTCTTTCTATATCAAATATGAATATGTATAACATTTGAAATTAAATATTTTTATTCCATTTAAGAAATTTATATACTATTATCCAATTATCCTATAATTGTTCTTAATTAATTTAGTATTCTAGGTTTGTTCAGTAAATCATTTTGATTATCTATATAAAGTATAAACCAAATAAATTTTATTTTGGCCCCAAATAGTCAATGTGAGAGCAGTGAGTCATCATACCTACACTCATTGCAGGTGGAAGAGCATACTGAAGCATAAGGACAAACTGATATAAGGAATCTGATCCAACCATGCCAAAATGGCGTGCAGCTCTAACAACGCCGATCCCCAAGAGAGGCAAGAATATGTTTCTCACTGCTACAATCCCTATAATCACCAACATGCTCACCTCTGATCCTTTTAGACCTGCAGCAACATTAATCTCATTAATTTTCTTTGTCTGCTCCCTTTTAACAATTCCAGAGAGCAGCATGAAATAAAAAGTACATAGAAACAGGAAATTAACCACCTTTAAGAAGGTTTGCCCCCATTATCAAGGTCATACATGGAATGGCTGCCTCCCTGCAAGACAGATACATTTCTATATAATCTTTTGTAGTAGGAAAGGTAAGACTGCTTATATATGTGCATGTGAAGTTGGATCATCAGAATCCAATAGGGTTGAATAGGACATACCCTATCAAAGATACAGAAGTATCAACTACATGAAGAGGAGCATTATCACCAATTAGTACTTTTCGGATTGGAGAGATTGTCCCAATGATAAACCCGACAACCTGAAAGGGAAATGGGATAAAGAAAATTCATGATGAGATATTAAATGTGCAGGGATACAAATGCAGCAGATGTTGTAAACGTGGTGCATACCGCTGCAATCGCTGATGGTGCAAACACCCTCTTCAGGTCGATCTTCCCCATAATAATCTTGATGCGCTCAACGGTATTCTTCACAACCGGTATCTATTCAAATATGTCCATAAGATTGACAACTAACAGAATGCATGCTGTTGGGTCAATTCCTGAGAAAGTCCCATCAGAACTTAAAAGAAACAACAGAGAAGTAAAAGAAAAGGGGACATCAAGTTATGCTGCTATGGTGCCAACAAGTCTGGACCAATCCAACAAGTTTTCCTTTAATCTGTATTGTTTGCATCACAACAGATTCTACAGGATATTAAAAAGAAATCTCTGAGTAAAAGATTGCAACTTAAAGAGGATAAACCTTTATTCTTCCATCAGAGTTGGTTAGAGGCAGTACACCTTGCCCTGAGTAGTCTTCAGAATTACTGCAATCACTTGATGGTAATAATGCTTCCGTGCAACTGTCTGGAAATAGTTGAGGGGCCTCTTCAGAAGAGTTTTGTTCCATGCTCTTACTAGCATAAGCATACACAAAAGGATATGCATATGACCATATAAAAATGGCTCCTACCTGTGGATGCATGGTGCGAAAAAAATTAAAACAGAAGAAACAATTAAGACAACTATGCACTGATAAAGCCTAGACAAAAATATTTCAAATGTGTAAATATTTTATAGAGAAGAATCACATGGCACTACATTCGGAAGGCACATGATTGTACACTTGATGTAGAAAATGGGGCAAACAGCTTACTAATCTACATTAGAGAACTTCTTAAACTTTGAATATATAGATCAGAATCAGAGACCACACCGCCATGGATAGTGAAGCATAAGCCTCTGCATATGTAGAGCAAGAATCTCCAAATGGAGTATTTGACTCTGTGCATACAGCCGGAACAATGATGAGAAGCAAGTTTCCCAAGTTTCCTGTGCACATCATAAATTTCCCCAAACCCAAAAATAAAAGGAAAAGGAAAAATATATTATTAGATTGACAATAGCAGTAACACAAGAAATGATAGAAACATAAGGATCTTTTTATTATAATGGAAGGGAAAGTTTGGAAAAAAAAGAGAACCTGCAGAACAACAACCAATGACCATTCCTCGAAGGTGTTCAGGAGTTTTAGTGATTTTTATGAGAATCCAACCAAGTGCTGAGCCAATAATGAATGTTAGAAAAATATTCACTGGCATGAACCACCTACAAGGAATGAGAAACAGAATGAACAACTAGCACATGATTTAGCCAGAGATGCAAAGAGAGCAAGTAAGCAGCAGAAACAGAAAAGAATGGAATGGAACTGACATGGTAACCAAACTGTCCAAAGTGACAGTCTCTGCCAAGTTGCTGACCACAAGTGAAGGACCAAACAGATAGAATACAATCTATACATCAGAAAATGGTAATTGGTAAAATACTTTATCAAAATAAGAAGGTATAATATCTGAACTTAAATAAGTCATCTAGGAAGGAAGTGATTTATGTAGTAGTCAAATGTGAAGACATCTGGTAAAGCTTCTGGAAATTGATAATCAAATAAATGATTGTGCATTGAAGCAACATCATGTCCGGACTCTACCCATCATTTATTTTTTATCATGATAATAGTCATAAAAGAGAATTATAGAACATATATTTTACGAACTCTCACTTTTCAAGCAAGCAGCATAAAGGATGCTTATGGGGTTAATTATTCAAATCCTATTGTCAGGATATTAAAATGAAATCCCACTGATAAGATTGAAGAACCAACGTTTATATCCATTCAAGGCAATTGAATCAATCCAAACATACAATCAAAGATGTTGGTAATCAGCTGACTACTGACTTAAAGGTTTTTCAACATTTTATTATGGACAGTAGTAAAAGGGGAGAGAGGGGTGTATTACTTTGTTCAAGTAGTTCCTTGCCTCTGGGCCCAAGAGATTTATGCGATCCGTAGCAAGAAACAAGCCAACACCAGTTACCAATAATACTTTCAGAACTGGCATCACTGCCACAACAAACAAATCCAGAAATCCCATTGCCAAACTTTGCTGTGAAACTTGACAGGGAGTCTCAATACTTCTAGCAGCAAAACAGATTCTAACAAGAACTTGTTAGCCAGAATAAATAAATGTATAAATAACATATGAAGAAGCACTTGCCAGAAATAAGATTGAGTAAGAGGAAAAGGCTCCAACGAATATTATTCTATTCAGAAAGATAAATCAGGTTTGCCGATTATACTAAATATGCTGATTTGTGGCTTATAAATAAAAGGGTCCAGTGACAGAAAAGGCAAAAATGAACATTCAAAACAGACCATCTAAAAAGTCTAGAAAAAGACACTGTTGGGGTGTTGATAGACTCAATTCTCTACCTAAAAAAAAGAGATTTTAAAGGGGATTGATGTATAAAGAAAAATAACTTCCTTAGATGCCTAAAATGTAGAACGGCCATTCCCTTGATATAAATATGGATAAGAATGATTATTCAAATGGCCATTCCATTTCCTTTGATGTCTAATATACACATTCTTGGAAAGTTCTATCCAAATATATTATTACTTTAGTAATATTTCTTTTAAAAGATTGGCAAACTTGAAGTTCTCTCAGATCCCAAATATAGTATTCTTCACATATCCAGTTTCGTGTTTCTTGGAAGGTGTAATCAAATTAAAAGTGTAAAAATGCACCTATCCTATTCTATCCAGGACTAAATCCCAACAGCAAACTCTTACACTCTCAGATGCATTTTATAATGAAGAACCCAACTGTAAAGACAAAGATGAAATGCAGCCAGCAATAAAGCAAAGAAGTCTGGCCTGTAAATTAAAATCTTCCTTGCTAAACAGCAAGTTAAGAGGAGCAGGGTCAAGAATGTATTCACCTGTTATAGGAAGTAAACACGCCCTCTGACAGCTTTGATCAAGCTCAAACTCAAACTCAAGCTGCTTTTCTTCCTCTTTTTATAGTATAAACTCACTGAAGGATGAAGATATCCCCATGAACTGGCACATGCAAAGTATTTGGACACGCAACCGCGGAAGCGTCAGACATTCCTAGTTTGACGTTTGACTTATGGTTTGCGGCAAGGAGAGGAAAAGAACGCATGAGAAGCAAAAGTTGACAATCGCATCTGTCATTCCCTAGTTCCAATCGGAAGATAGGACAATGTGATGCACGTAGATTCCTTTTAGTTCATATTGAGCATCTACCTTTATATTTTCTAGTCAAACGTGACAAATGTTCGTCAATTAACAAATAATCATCATTCCAAGGAATAGCGGGGAAAAAAATAGATAAAACTAAAGATAGACATCGTAAATCCTAGTTGGTGAGTCTTCCTCGCAGATATGACCGAAAAAAAAAGGCCGAATGAGTGGTATATAATCAGCCAAGAGATTAAGCCAAAGCTGTCAAATCTGTAGGAAGAGAAACATATAAAACTAGAAAAGCAAATCCCAGACGCATACAACTCATCCAAATGTATGTATACTATATAAGATGGCTTCTAGCCCTTAAGTTTGGTAAGTCTTCCACTAGTTGTTGGGGTTGAATGACGGATGAAAAAGCAAGACGTTCCTAAAATTTATTTCATGCTAAGAGTAAGCCACCAACTTTCGAAACTGTCTTCATCAAGATTAAATCATTGCAGCAGTCCACTGCTTAAACAAACTTGAACTTGTGTGAGTTGTAGCTGGCGCCCAAAATGATTTGATCCCAGAAACAAATTCAATCCGTTCCAAATATGAAACCCAATAATAATCCAATAATATAATAGTTTAATCTATATTTAAATTCATCCAAATCGAGATAATTCAAACTCGAATTCGAAATAACTTGAAAATAAAGTAATTTGATATCCGACTTAATCCTATTTAACTTAATTCAAAATCCAAAATGATTCAACTGAAATTGATCCTAAAATAATCCAGACATGCTTATATATTCAAAATTTTTAATAAATAAAGTTAATTATTTAACATATTCATTTTTTTAGGTTGAATAATCACCTAGATGAAATATATATATATATGTTGAAAATAAATCCCAAAAACATGTAAAGAGATTAAAAAATTAAAAATTTTATTAACATAAAAAAGAATTGGATAGCAAGATTATTCAATTGTTGGAAAGGGATACATATAACATAATAAATTAGACTGTCAAACTATTAATATTAGTTGAATTTCATCCTAATAAATATTTCTTACTTTTCATTGTTTTACAACGGCATCGTTTGAATTCCATTCTAATAAAATATCTCTCATTTTTCTTTTTAACAGGATTCTTGACATAACTAATTTTATATTGAAATGAGCTTTTATAATTTAAATTTCTTATGCTAGCATTATATATGAAAGTTTTGTCCCTTAATGATCAGGTTAAAAAGGTGAATGAACATCTTATTATCTGTATACAAGTACTTCATAATATTATAAAAACAAAAAAAAATATTAATTAAGAAGTAACTATCTATTTTATTTATTAATAAGATCAGACTTTCATGCATTTATTAATCAAATTTAATATTTTATTGATTGTAAAAACAAAAATTCCTTTAATATAATAATTTTCTATTAAAATATAAAATTTTCTTTTAAATGTTATTAATATTCAAAGGTTTTAATCTTAAGAAATTATGAATTATCAAGTCAATCCGTAAAGTCTGTACTTGAAAATAAGTTAGTAAAAAGTTATCTAAAAGTGACATTGATATAACTAATTATATTTTTAAGCAAAATATATTAGAACATTAAAAAAAAAAAAGAGTACCAATTTTAATTTTTTCAAAATTTAAATCATTTTAACTCATAATTATTCGAACATTAAAATAACTTGTACTCAGAATGACCTGAATTTGAAATAATTTGATTCATAATGACTCGATTTCAAATTGATATATGTAGTAATCCATAAGAGTGTGAGCAAAATCAAATCAGACTAATTATATATCCAAATCAAATACGATTTGGTGAAGGTGATTTGATCTAATTCATCCATTTAGTCAATTGGTCTAGAATATTTGGTCTACTTAATTTTTTTGTTACACTTAAAAAACCAAACTAATTATATATATTATAGTAATAATATTTTTTTATATATTAAAAAGAATTGATAATAAACTTAATTAATAATATATTTAAAATATATTAATTTATTATATATACGTATACAAAATCATAAGAATAGTAATTTAATATTAACTATATTTATTTATTTATTTATAAACTTATATTAATATGAAATTACAAGTTATGTATTTTAAATGATATAACTTATCTGTTAATATTATAATATATAATAGTAAATATCCTACATATTAATATATTATAATTATTATACTTTAGTAATGTTTCGTAATACAAAATGTTATAAATAAATATATATAATTGTATAAATATATTATATATATACATATATTTAATTTATACATAAGAATTACTATAACTTATAATAAACTTTTTTTATATAATCACAATTAATACCTTTATTAGTTATCACCTTAGTTTTTATAATTTATTGTTTATAATTAGTTATTATTTATACAAACTTTGATATAAAACATTATAACATATAAGTTGTATCATTAATTTCATATATATAATAAAGTAATATTCTATATATGCATATATTTAATTTATACATAAGAATTACTATAACTTATAATAAACTTTATTAATATAATTACGCTTAAAAACTTTATTAGTTATCATCTTAGTTTTTATAACATATTGTTTATAATTAGTTATTATTTTTACAAACTTTGATATAAAACTTAAAATATTATAATATATAAGTTGTGTCATTAATTTTATATATATAATAAAGTGATATTATATATATATACATATATTTAATTTATATATAAGTATTCCTATAACTTATAATAAATTTTCTTTATATGATTACACTTAATAACTTTATTAGTTATCACCTTAGTTTTTATAACACATTGTTCATAATTAGTTATTATTTATACAAATTTTGATATGAAATATTATAGCATTATAGTTTTATTCTGTGGATGTTAATTTTATTATCTTTGACTTTTTGTTATATTAAAACTTGCAAATATGATGATATATGTAAAAAGATGTAATTATGTAAGTGAAAGAACAAATGTATATTTTATCTTATGTTTAAATTATTTGTATATTTTATAATTATGGATAAAGTTGATAAGTTTTAATATTTTAATTTGTAAAAAAGTGTAATAAAATTTTGATCTATTAGTCTAAACCCAAATGGACCAAACCAATTCTATGTTTGGTCAATTTGGTCTTTTTTTTATATTTGATGAGTTTTGAGTGGTTTTTTTTAAAAATATTTGATCAATTTAGTTCTTAGATATGACGGATAGAACTACTCAATTTACCCATTTACCTCACCTCTAGTAATCCGAATCCAATTTAACTCAATTTAAAAGGACTTAAAATTCGAGTGACCCAATAAAAGAAGCAACTTGAACTTAAAAATGACTGGACACGAATATCGTATAACCCAATAATATCTATGACTCGAAAATGACCCAATCTGATACCAACTTAGCCCGTACTTGTAATTTGAGTTGAGCGTGTTTTTATTTTAAAATAAATTAAATGAGATTTTATCTGATTGAGTTTCTACTATACAAAAGAACAACCAGTTTGACTAGTTAAAACATAAATTACATGGTCAGCACTTGTGAGACCCAAACTAACCAGGAAATTGGGCCTTATGCCAAATTTATAAGAATCCATAGCTAATTGCCTACTCATAACAAATTTAATAAATGATTGAAACAAATAGTTGTGGAAGTGAATCCTCTCCATTACCAAAAATTAAGGGGCATTTTTAAAAATAACTCTTAAAGATAAGATATTTTCAAAAATAGCCTGCAACATAATTTGAACTATTTTTAACTAAATTAGACAAAATTACCCTTAATGAAATTACATGCCATGATTTTACACGCCATGTACAAAAACATGTTATGCATCATGGTTAGGTTGTTACACACTATATTGAAAAAAATACTGTTGTTACACGCCACGGACTAAAACATATTATATGCTATGATTAGGTTGTTACACGTCATGTTGAAAAAAAATACTGTTGTTACACACCATGCACAAAACATGTTGCACACCATAGTTAAAAAAAGATGTTACATGCCATGTTGAAAAAAAATATTGCTGTTACTTGCCATGTTGAGAAAATATTGTTACATACCACATTTAAAAATATTTTGTTACACTTTAATGCCTAAAATATTATTGTTACTTACGAACTAAAATTTCAAATCCTCTCAACTCTCTTTAATTTTTTTTTTATTTTTTTGACAATTTGGCACTAATTAAAGTGTTTCTAATATGTTTTCATAAATCAAAACACAAATT